ATAGTACTTAATATATTTGTTTATATTTTATGTAACTTGCAGATACAATTACCCAGTACAGCACTTATCGTTTTTTAAATGCTTTCAAAGAAGAAATGTGGGGACCCGGAGTGGGTATCACATTGAGTACGATATTGATGTCATATAGGATGAGGAGGCATTTAGTTGTCTCAGAGTATATCCTAAGTTCAAATTTATACACTTGGGATGAGGAGTCATTCAGTTGTCTCAGAGTATATCCTAAGTTCTGATGGAGGCCCCAAGTTGCCTAAGAAATATCCATCAGAGTGTGCACACGTATCCGATCAAGATATCGGAAGAGAAGAGAAAAGTTTAAGTTTCAGTACCAGAACAGATTTCTGGTTACCGATTAGATATCAGTTTATGATTATCTTTATTCAGTACTCATCCCCATAAGTTTATTTTCAGGTAACAGGTCGAACAGGAGATGTGAGTGGAGCAGTGCTGGTGTGGATCGTAGATTCAGATTATAACAAGTTTTTGTATGGACATTTAAAACAATCTGTATAATTATTCACGTTTTCAAGTATTTCCGCTATGCACATTAAGACTTGAATTTGCATTTTAATAAATTTAAGATTTTAAATTTTTACCATTCAGAAGTATGAATATGGTACATTTAAATGCAAAGTTCAAATAAATCTATTTTCTTTATGTCTAAAGAAGTATCAGACAAAAGTTTAAAGATAAATGAATTTTAAGAGAAGATGAGTTTGAGTAGCATCCCGAGTTAGTTGCAAAATGTTTCGAAAGATTTATAAGTATTTTTGAAGTAAAAGTTGCGAAAAAGTTACTCTGATAAGCGGGGTGTTACACCGAGTTCATCAAATCTGACCGCATTGTTCCCGTCCACAAGCGGACTTGTTACATCAACTACAAGAAGGCGCTAGACGCCGCAGCCGCAGCCGTTGCCGGCTCATCCCACACGACAGCTGGGACGTCAAGTGCCCCATCTCAGACACCACTCCACGCTACCGCCGATGACGAGCCTCATCAGGAGTCCTCTCAGCTTCCACTTCCGATACCGGGCCATTCCGATGCTTATTCCGACAGGGCCCCTGTCAGGTTTTCTGAGTATCAGGCTCGGAATGATGCCTGTTGGACTGCTTTCACTGAGCAGAACCACGCGCGTTGGACGTCGTTCGTAGAGACCAACGACGCACGTTGGACGTCGTTCGTAGAGTCCAACGACGCGCGTTGGACAGAGCAGACTCGGCAGTGGAACAACTTCGTGCGGGACAACACGGATCACTGGACCGCCCATGACAGCCGATGGGACACCTGGGCAGAGCAGCAGTACCAGCAGTGGTCCACTTGGGACACCCGTTTCGGCCAGTGGGACTCCCGTTGGAGTTCGGGCGGCACCAACCCACCACAGCCTCCACCGTCGGATGCACATTGATTTTTGTCACTGTGCCTTATACGTTCTCTTTTTCATTTTCTCTTTTCTGTATAGTTCGTTTTATTTTGTGAGTCGGTTGATCATGTGGTTTTTACGTTTGACTCTCTTACTTAGGGTCGAGAATGGGGACATTGTCGAATTCTAAGTCTAGGGGGTTTTTACGTGCTTACGTGACTATGTGATTCATTAGGTCTAGTTTTTATTCTTAGAGTTATTTTTATTTTCGTTTCTTTTGTCTGGTAGACCGGGCCAGTTTGTAGGATTATGTGTTGTCTTTCTGAGCTTGGACTATGGTGTATGGTAAGATTAGTTGATAATTGATTGATTGAGTTGAGAAGTTGTGATGATGAGCATGAGAATTGCATCCTTCATTAATTGTTTGGTTGTTTTGATTGGCTTTATCTACCTTGTGAGGTTTGAGCCGTACTCGTTTCTTTTCTGTGAGATGTTGGTCTAAATTGTATTCGATTGGAATTTGCCTTGAGTCTGCTGTGAAATGAATTGATTGAACTCGTAAAATGTGAAAATGATTGAGGCATTCATTGTATATTCTTTCCCTTTTTTTTTCTCTTTTCTCAATAAATCCGCTAGTCACCCCCGTTGGGCCTCATCGATTTTTCTTCTTTTACAACCTCGTGACGTTGATATGATGGAGTTGCGGGCAGAAAAGTGGAAGTGATTGGTGTTGATGTGTGTATCATATAATAATAATAAAAAAAAGGACCGAATGGATTAGTATAAATATCCAAAGGGTCCAATATATATAAAAAAAGAAAAAAGAAATAATAATTAGTGCATATATTCGAATAATTCGAGTAGCGTGTGAACTTGTGAGGACATGGAAGGAAACGGTTGGTGTCAGACAACCGGGAGAATTCACGATGATGGTTAGGTGAATGATTTGTGTTGATTATACGGTTATAGCCACTTAGCCTATATTTATCCTACTTAATCCAAAGATCCTACATTACAACCCCAAAAGTCCTCTTGATTTATGATTGCATGAGTTTGATTTTTTTTAGAGTAATAGGTAGATGATATGCAAATTTATGGTTGATATGATTGACGATCAACTTGAGAGCAATCCTATATATGAGAAAGGAACTGAGTGAGACACATAATATATATATTTTCGTACTCGAGAGTCGTTGTTCGTCAATATAGCCAAATTACAGTTGAGATGTGCATTTGTGATCATTGGAATTCTTGTCGACTTGATTGATTAGTTTGAGATTAGTCTTGCTTGAACCGTTGTCCTTGCTCATTGGTTTCTTTTCTTTTATTTTCTTTTTGTTCGGGACGAACAAAGATCTTAGTGTGGGGGAGTTGTTTGTCTTATTTTTGTTGTTATTTTTGCTAGTATTTGTCAATTTTCTCCCTCGTATAGGTCGTTTCTTAGGTATTTTCCGGTCCCTTTAGTTGTTTCTTGTATTTTCATTGTTATTTTGGTGTGTTTGTTATTTTTGTTATTTTTCTTCCTATTTCTCTTGCCTTTCGTGTTTTTCTGGTTGTGGTAATTACAGGATTTTGACGACTTTGTTCCAGTCCCGAGGAATTCCGTGCTGTTTCATCCGTTCAAGACGCTCGTGAGTCGAATTTTCAGCCCGGGCAGTACCCGGGAATCATTAACCGAGGGCACGCGGAGCAAGAAAATTGAAAATCACCAAGATGGAGTCGGACCAGACCCTAGCGCCGCTATGGGTAGCCTGCTAGCGGCGCTAACACCCGTAGCGCACTTCAGAGGCTCCGAGCATTAGTGACCTAGCGCCGCTAGCCTCCCCTAGCGCTGCTAGCACCCCCCCTAGCGGCGCTAGCATCTGTTGGCAGACAAGAATTTCTTCTTTTTTCCTCAAAACATGGCATGAGTTAGAAAGCTCGGTAGTGGTGCACTTAGGGGACATCACTTACTTGGAAACATGGTTTTGAAGGCTATAAGAACATCCTTTCTTGATCATATGAGACATCTATCATCTTCCATCATTTTTTTCTATTTTCTACACCATTTTCTTTCCTAAGTTTTAAGTTTGTGTTTGCTTTTATTTTGGAGAACTTTGAAGACATTGTTGTACTTGGATTAAGTTTGCATTTTCTCTTGTGGATTTCTCATTACAAGTAATTTATCTATTTCATTTTATCAATGTCAAAGATGGCTTATTTTAATGTGAATGTTTATACTAAACTTACCATGAACAACTATTCTTCTAACTAGGGTTAGGGGATAATCGTTTCGGTTTGTTCTTACTTATGTGTATGTCAATTACTCAATCTTTACGAGTTTTACTTATTTCATGATTGAATGCTTGATCACCATTTTAATCTAAATAATCGATTTTAAAACCGAGAGGGGCGAAATTGGTAGAACTTGGCTCGTTCAGAGTAGACATGTTGGGAAACGTATTGTCTATGTGTTAATTGTCTCGTTAATTTACTCATTGATGTTTTTCCTTATATTACGAGAGTTAGTAAGGTAAAACCGCTAAATGAGTTAGTTAATTGAGCCTTTTAACCGAGTAATTGATTGCCGTCAAATTTATGTAAAACCGAAGATGATTGTCCCCGATACCCTAGTCATTTACATCCCTTGGAATTATCTTCATCATTTTTTCTCTCTTTGAATCATTTTTATAAGTTGTGATATTAAATTGTTCTAGTTAAAAATCATTAGTAAAAATCAAAACCAACAACTTGAATTAGAGTGTGTAGGATTATTTTCGTTTTTGTGATCGAGTAAACGTACAAAATAGTCCGGCTAACCTTCCTTGAGAACATAACCCAGTGTTCAAATCTTTCGATTCTACTCCGGTAAAATAAAAATAATTTGCTACAACAGTGACCTTAATGTTCGAGACACCACGAACCACACTATCTCAATGTAAGACAAGGAGTATGATTACATAAATAAATAAACTGCAAGCATGTGTGCTTTGACTAAAACGCGATTACCAGATCAGAATGGTATTATTAATATCTGAAAGTCAAGCTTTTACAGCATATCTAACACCAATTACTTAAATAATATTACGGTCCACTAATGTAATGTTATTGTACTCCCTTTTCCTAGCCCAAATTACATTTGAGACTCCAATAATAATTCTCCAAATTACTTCCCCATGTTTAAGATATAATGTACGTTAATTAATTCGATTACTGATATCAAGAATTAATTAATATATTTTATTACCAAAGCTAGCGTTCGTTCATCACATTATTATTATGTCGTAACTTAATCCACCTGCAGGGATTAGCATAACAATCCTTCATGAACTCACTTCGGGGACATCATCAAACTAACGCACATGGTGACTGTAAATATCCTAACAACACATCATACATACAACAATATTACCCAAGACAGTAAGGATATTGATCCAGCAAACTGAACCTCACCCAAGTGAATCAAAGTAACATATAATGCATATATATATATATATATACATATATATGTATTTAATATCTTACGGGTTAAGAGAATGATGTAATTAATCGAGGCCTAGTTCGTTTACGACGATTAGTAATAAAATGAACTTCTCCTCTCTGGGATCTTGTTCTATACATAAATGTACTAGTGCAACTAATCAGTCAAGTCCAACTGTACCGTTGACACTACAACCGTTCGGATGGGGTGTTCATTTTCATCTATTTTGCAAATGAATGATAAGATGATTTTCTGTTCACCCGCTAATGAACAATCTCATTTAAGTGCAAAACAACAGAACATAGAACTTGTTTAGTCTAACATGACTCTTATTCATAAAAGACAAAAGTGTAATATCATCCAAAGCCAAGCTTTTAGTATATAACACTAACACAGGAGCCGAAATACTCATAAGTTAAGCTAAAAAAATGGTCCCACTCCACGAATCGAAAAATAAATCTACGCGATTGAACCGAAAATTCCGAACGATTCGACGAGCGAATTTGAATCGAATGACAACGGGCGAACTGTTGGAGCATATCTAACACGAACGACTCCTAGTCTATTAAGGAAAATAGACTTAGAAATAATTTAAGTAGGCTATCACGTCTACAAAAATTATTCAACTTAAAATATTAATCAGAAGAAGACGTCAAATTAATTACAGAAGTTTATATGAGGATTTTCCGGGCAATACACCTAAAATAAAAGCGAGGCGAATAAATGCAAAAATATGCTAACTCATTTAAAACGATTTGGGTGCTACAATCTACCCTCCTTAAAGGATTTCCGTCCTCAGAAATCTTGATAGAACAACAACCCAAAAGGAACGTCAGATACAAGCGACAAATTCTAACCACGAGGTTCGGCTACTTCCTCAGAAATTCGACCTCGCTCTCATGAGTCGCAATGCCACATACTCATATGTACACACTCATGCATAGGACCCAATCCGACTCACCCTATTCTCATATGCACACACCCTTTCACGGGAGGTCATTCCATCCTGCCCCATGCTCATATGTACACACTCTTGCACGGGTGCAACACCCCGCTACTCAGAGCCAATTTTTTCGCATCTTTTCTTTCGAAAACATTTATATTTTTTTTTTTTTAAATCCTTTGCAAACTAACTCGGGATGCTACTTAAAACTTATCTGCTTTGAAAATCCGTTTCCTTTAAAACTCGGTATAACGAATGGTTTAGACTTAGAGAAAAACAGATTTAAATCTTTTATAGTAACAAGCATGTAAAACTAGACCCGTTCATACTGGCGAACCGGGTAAAACTGTCATGCAAGTCTGAAATTGAAAATAAATGTAGCGGAAGTCTTAAAATGCGTGGCATAATAGTTATACAAACATAAGTAAACAAATGTCCACAGAACGGCTAGTTGTGCCAAATCCGCAACCACAACCACCACGACTGATCTCACACCTGCCCGCC